CTCACTTGATGCTTTGTTTCATTCTTGCTTTGCTTGTGTTTGTCTGTTGAAGCTGAGGAGGGCGGGGCCCTGTTTGTGTTTGTCCTGCCTGTGCGCTCCTGGGTTGTTTGTTGTCTTACTCACCTTAGTGATTTAGTCACAGTTCTTTTGATGTTGGAGGTGGGCAGGACTTACTCAACCCAGGGCTTTGCTTTGCCTCCTCCAATGGCCCCAGTGTCATCCCCCACTTCCCTCCACCTCCTGACAGTCCCTAGCTTGGCTTGGTCTTGGAGGTAATGTGGGCTTCCATAAGCCAGAGCTTCAGGAAGTGCCCCAGCCTGCAGCGCCCCCTAGCTGCCATCTGGTGAGGATGACTGATTTTTACCGAACCTGGCTAACCTGCCCTCTTGACTTTCTCTGCATTTGGGGTTCCTATTCTCTAGCTTCCACATCCCCAATTTATAATGCAGTGGAGTTCCATTCATTAGGCTAATTTGGATGCATGCTGGGCTCACATCTGCTGGGAATAAGTCAAACTGAAGACTTTAGTGGAAAACAATTACGGAATGAAAGGCAGCTAGACACTATATTCTCTGCTCTCTGAAAAAGGGAGGAGAGAGGGAGAAGAGAGGGAAGAGAGAGAGAGAGAGAGAGAGAGAGAGAGAGAGAGAGAGAGAGAGAGAGAGAGAGAGAGAGAGAGAGAGAAAGAGAGAGAGAGAGAGAGAGAAATGTTGACTAAACATCAGAGAAAATGGTGAAAATTCACCACAATTCAGAAAACAGACTGATTGTAATCAGGAAAAAAATGACAACTCATCTTGTGTCAACTCACTAAGTAAAGTGGGTGGAAAGCTGCAACTGCCCCAGCTCCCCCCACAGGAGTGTACCCAGGTCCTTCCCCTCCAGTGCTGCTCCTGGAGTGCAGCGGAGGCAACTGCTCCTCACCCCAAAAGCCACTCGCTCATCTACCTCCACCCCCCTCATCACTGATGGCGCATCTCCAGCATGGCCAGGGACCGCCATGCTGTGGACACAGCAGCAAGCAACAGACATTTCTATGAGTATTGAGTTACATAAGGGTGGGGAACTGTGGATAAACAGGTAAGTAAAACACACAGGTTTGGGGAAGCTGGTCCAGGGAGACCAATACAGCAGCAAGTTACAGAAACAAGTAAAAGCAGCAGGTGGGTGGCCTAGAAGCGCTGGAGCTGGAGCTGGCGCTGGAGCTGGAGCATCTTCTGGCTGGTGCAGTCCCAGAACTGAGTCTGAGTCTGAGTCTGGGGGAGGACGCGGTAGGAGTAAGATGGAGGATGGACCCCTGTCCTTGCAGTAGGCTGAGTTTCAAGCCATTTTTCTTTCCCTCATGTAACCGCATTAGACACACCTTTCCAACTTACTTCCTTCTTGGTCTCAGCTAACAGTACAGGTCCCTTGGACTGTAACAGGGTGGTCCCCAGGAAAGGGGGAGGTTCTGGGTTTCCTATCCCACCCAAAAAGGAGGGTGGAGCTGAGCAGGGAGAGAAGAAGCTGCAGAGGAGACTGAGGAAGGAAGGAAGCAGGATGGAGCCAGGAGGAGGCCTGAAGGAGGCACATGGAGCCTAGAGACACGTGAAGAAACTATGCTTGCCTGTTGGTCGTGGACTGGGTGACACAGATGTGGGTGAGACCCGTGGGGAGGTGACAATGGTGGTTTTGTCTTGATTTTGATTTTGCTCTTTTCCTTCCAGACTTGTCTGGTGGTTTCTGACCCTTTTCTGTGGGTCCCCACTGGAGGATGCTTTAGACTTGTGGCAGGTTTTGGGGCCTCGCTCTGGGCCAATCCTGCTTGGATGGACTTTTACCCACGATGGGATGGGTGACTTTGAGTACTTGATTTAGAAACTAGATTCTTTGCCTTTCCTGTATTGTTTCCTAGTTTTATTAAAGTTCCTTCCCATTAAAGTCTCATATGTTTTGTGTTGATGCAGCGGATGGCAGAACCCATTTAGAGTAGGCAGGTTTGCGGGGTCTGGGCTGCCCCTCTCCCTGCCCTGTAACATGACCACAGAAGCCTCACGGAACCCAGATAGGGTTGTTCATTCAGAAAGCACTGGCTGAGCGCCGAGTCTGTGCCAAGTACTGTTCTAGATCCAGGAGATGCAGAGATGTAAAGCTCAAGGCCTTGCCTTTAGGAAGCATCTATTTAATGAGGGAGACAGAATAAGCAAGCAGTGGGGTAAATACATAGCTAGTCATAGAATATCTGTCATTTCAGTGATGTCGGGAGGGAATTCACTTGAGGAGATGAGGAAAGGACTCAACATAGGGGGAGCAGGAAGCGAGACCTGGAGAGGGCGGGCTTCTGGCATTTGAGGAATAGCAAGGAGACTCATGGGCAGGACTGTGGGGCGGGGGGTAAGGGCAGCTGCTTAGTTCTGAGATCAGAACGGGGAGCAGGGCCAGGTTGTCTGGGGTGTCATAAGCGACTGTCAGGACTTTGCATGTTACTTGTGGCATGAACGAGCACCCTGGGAGGAGAGGCAATGGGGGATGCCATGATCTGCTTGGTACCTTGGAAGGGTCATGCTGGCAGGCCTGTGTAAACAGACAGCTCTGGGGGAAAAAGTCAGAAAAGGCTAAATCAGGAGGCTTGGCAGGTGGGAGGTGGGAAGTTACACCAGACAGTGGCAGTGAAGGGGGTGAGTCACGGTCAGACTTGGTACATTTTCAGAGGGCTCAACCTGGTGGCCTCAGTGATGGATGCCAGTGTGAGTTAAGACCAGGTTGGGTCAATCAGAATGCAAGTTCAAGGTGGCCAGTGACTTAACGTCTCAGATGGGTGCAGTGCCTGGCAGGGCCCAGTGACCATGAGTGACAGGACCTGAATTAGACAGTGTCTGAAGTTCTTTGGTCTAGAACATCCCTCTGCATCTTATATTTGATTAGGAAATGGTGACCAGAAGATGCTGCAAATAATCTGTCCAGCATGAGGTCAGTTATATTTGGATTTCTAACAAAGCAGCCAAGTTTATTGCTCCCACTTAACTTCTGCTCTAGGCAGATTAGTAGACATAAACTTATTTCCAAAGTTTGACGGCTGATGGGAAAAAGACCAAAAGCAGCATGCCAAATGGCCAAGTCCACTGCTGTCCCTGTTGTTTTCTCCTTGCTTTTTATCTACTTGCCTTGTTGGTTGACTTTATTGCTCCTACTGAACAGAAGGAGAAAATGTGCCTCTGACAGATGAGCATCTGCGGGGGGATCTCTAGCTGACCTCTAATTCCAAAGAGCCAAGGCCACATCCCAACCAAGATCTTTATTCCAGTCAGACGAGGCCTCTGGGACTGCGAGCAGGTCACTAGAAGGGTCAAGTGCATTTTCCAAAATCCTTTCTCCCCAAGTCCCACCTGAGTAGGTGACAAGGTGTTGTCACTCAGAATGTGTCAGGGGGCCAGAGGTGGGTGTCAGAGGATGGAGACCTCCAGGCTCCAGCTGAACTCAGAGGAGCAAGTGTCCCATGCAGCTAATCAAGCAGAAGTGGATTTGCCTTCCTGGCACTGCCACCCGGATACTGCCGAATCCGTGCTGTTTCCTTAGCAAACAGGAGGTGAGGATGACAGGCAGTGTGAAAAGAAGAAAAATGAGCAAACTGCCAGAGGGACGTTCAACCTTGCACATACTCAGAGCAGAGGACAGCTTGTAACAGTTTTGCTTTTTTCCTCCAGCATTAGGTCTGGGGTAACCAAGGCATATTTAAAGTGTCAAAAAGGTATTTTCTGCTGGGCAAGGCAGACCCTATGTTTATGTTTGAAAAGCAAGATGGATCCGGGAACAGGCAATGGCATTTCCCCACAGCCGTGGACTTAAAAAAACATCTTGGACCCTGCAGTGAAATTGGGTTTCATCCTTAACTGATGCAGTTGTCTTACTAAAATCAAAGGAAGCTGGTACAATTTTCCCAGAGTTGGAAGGAATTCTGTTAAAAAAGAGAAAATCATCAGACAAGATCTGTTCTTTTCCCTTTACATTAGTTTGCCTTGTTAGAGAATAACTGAAATCCAGATGAAATCCAGTGGCAAATCTCATGCCCTTCTCCTGCACCAAGTCCCTCACCCAAGGCGGGAGGCGGGAGAAGGCCCAAGGCCGCAGGTGAGGACTAGAGATGAGATTCCATGTGCTCCCAGCCTGAATCCACACGAGGCAGGGGGAGTGTGCTGCAGGGGAAAAGGCTCCTGGGCTTAGCAGTGTCTGGAAATACGAGGGGAAGCCACCACAGACTTTTTCACATTTTTAACATCAAGCCCAGGGGCCTACCCAGGCGCGCGCCTGCCGACTCTGCCAGAGCTGCAGAGGGCACCGTTTCCCAGAGTGTACAAGAACTCTGGGAGGACGCGTGCTTCACCCTCCCAGGAAGTGCTGGTGAGCACCGAGTCCTCGGGAAAGGTCAAGGGTGGAGGCTGTGGGTAGGTGTGGGAATGAGGCACTCCAGGAGTGGGGGGGCTGTGGGGCGACAGAAGTTTGAGTCCATACCCCCTGTTGGGCCACACAGGATGGAGCTCTGGAAGGGAGTGAGTGCTGAGCACAAGATGCTCTCAGGGAGCCTGTGGAGCAGTGGGAAGTCAGTGAGGTCTTCACGTGGAAGACTTCTGCAGAGAAACTGGACAGGGCGCTGGGTCTGAGGACTGAGAAGCTGTCACTTCATGTGCAGACTTGTGCCAGTTGGTATTTTCAGAAGCAGAATGACACATTAGAGGTCAGAGTCCCCAGGGTGTTTTTTTTCCCCAGGGTTTTTTTTGGCGATAGTTCCAAAGGGAAGAGACTGGATGATTTCAAGAGGAAGGTGAGTGTGGGGTGGGGAAGGTATGGGCTTTGTTTACTCTTCTTTTTGGTTACACAGTTTCAGGACAGGATGCTCACTTCCACTACCTTGAGCCAGAAACCTTAATGCGCCTTCTAATCACTTGCTCAGAAAAGTGAGTTAGTGTTAGCAGTTCCACCAGAAACCACGTACTCTCAGCACGAGATGGCTACCTAAAATTACATCACACACACTCCTGGTTTTATATACTGATTTATTTCAGCAGGAAAAGAGAACCGATGCATTTTACAAATTTGAGGGCTGCAGTAAGCTGTAGATGTTCTTTCCAGACACTCCAATGCCAAGTTCCACACAGTAAATAACCTGGATACGCCACAGGTTATAGTTCTGAGAAGCAGGAACAGGGATCAGATGCTATCTGCAGTTGCTTTAGAAATTTTTGAGAGAACAGGCATGTTGCAATGACTGTTTAAATGTTGCTTAAATTCCAATTGCTACAGGGCAGCGGTGCCCCCGGAGATGGAGTAATTAAAACATCCTGTTAAGCTTCAAGGGCTTCGGGCAAATAGGACTTGACAGTGGACAGGTGGGCAGACATGAAGGGCTGACAGAAGAACAGGTGACCGAGGCCACACCTGCCTACAGGGAAACTGGAACAATTCCCAGAACCGGAAGCACCCCCACCGGGAGTCCTACTCTTGCTAGTGGTTCTTAAAGCCACCGGACATATGGAGGTTAATATCTGAATCCTGAAGACAGCAGGATGGAAATGTGGTTTTCACTAAAGGTTCTACAATGCGAGCTATGTGCTGGCCAGCCCAGCACACCTTTTTTTCCTGACTTCCCTTATCATATGGCCCTGAAAAAGCCACACAGCAGAGGAGCTGATGGTCTGCACAAGTGATTGAAGAGGATCGGGAATGGATCAGAGCTGGAGGGATTTCTGGAATAAAATCTAGCGCTACCTCGCAGAAGAAACGTGTTAGATACCTCCTATACTTGAGAGTGAACTATAAAGATGCCTTTGAGTCCCTGGGGGTTTGTGAAATGCTGATATGCCATGGGGATGGGGGGCAGGGCTGGCAGTCCAGCCTGAGATTCCCTAGGCAACCGTTTAGAATCCTCCCTCCGTGTGTGATGTTGCAAACCATCCTTGGTATTCTGTCATCATTGAGGGAGGGTATGTGGGGTGGAATAAGCTGGAACAAAGGCCCTGGCTCATTCACCAGGAATGGGGTGCAGTGGCTGCAGTGTGCATTTCCTCTGACACAGTCTGAAGGCCCCAAAGAACCAGAGCTATGTGAGACCGGTGCTCACCCTGTCTGGCCACCAGTTACCACTGAGGGTATATGTACGGGGGGCCAGATGGGGAGGGAGCAGCACAGGGAGAGGAGCTCACGTACATCTTCACAAGGAAGACTCAAAACAGTGGGATCGAGTCAGAGGGAGAGCTATATAAAGATGCTAAAAGAAAAATATCCTCTCTCTGCATTAGTCCACTGAATCGATCCATTTCTTATTTGGGGAGCATTTGGATATTGTCATAAAAAAAATGCCAAGTGATCATTGAGCACCAAATTATCATACAATCTTGTCCTAAACCCAGTCATTTCCCACGCTCCAGAATTACCAAAACAGTCTTGCCTAAGAGCAAAGGGAAAAAATTTGTGCGTCTCCCAGTATGGTTTTTGCTTTTGTTTTTGGTTTTTTCCCCACAAGTCGGTGATTTCAACTTTGAGGTTCTCCGTTTTCACTTTTGCCACGTGGTGTCTGCTTGCAGGTGAGCATGAGAAGCAGGAGCAAGGGTAAGTGCCAGAGGCTGCAGAAGAACAGCTTCCTGGAACTTTTCCGATCGGCATCTGTGTAGAATCGAAAGCCAAGGTAGGAAATATACAGGTTGATGGGGAGGGAGATGATGGGGAAGGTCCATGTGGTGACATCCAGGATGGGGGCTGCTGTGGACAGTGCAATGAGGGCCAGACAGTGGCGCAGGGCGACGCGCCGGCACAGGCCTGGGTGGGTGACCGACATCATGCAGTAGCCTCCTCGGGAGTAGTCTTCCCGGAGGCCCCAGCTCAGGGCGTTGAAATGAGGAAACTGCCAGGAGTAGAGGATTCCTCCCAGAAGAAATGCTCCTGCAGAGAGGGTAGAGGAAGAGGGAAGCAAAGACACGGTCAGTGGAGATTTATAAAGACAGAGTTTCCTCTCGCCCAGAAGCCTTTCTGGCCCTCTCCGAGCGGCTCTTTGGATTGTACCCAGGCCAGCCTGGCCTGAGACAGGTAGGTGGGGGCTGAATGTGCTCCCAGACGCCTCCAGTGTTCTACCTCGGGGGTGAGGAGGCTCTGGGAGCCCAGGTCAGCCTGTGCTTCCAGGGTGGCTGTCCACAGGGTGCTGTGATTTCTGCCCACCAGTGTCCCCATGTCCCCATATCATGACCACAAAGGAAGTCCCTACACACCTGAGAATAGGCAGGGACAGGACTGGCCGGTGGGACCTCTGTGCTAGGGCTTTCATTGTTTCCATGGCTGGGTCCGGAGAGGGAGGCACTTCATTGCGGGGAAGGGCATCCCCAGCCCACTTGGCTCCTTGACAAGCTCCAGCTCCAGGGTCCTTGCTCAGCACAGACACAGGACTGAGGGGAGCTCCAGGCCCTGCTGAACACCCTGCTTTTGTAAGAGTGCCCACTGCCTCCCTAGTGGACCACAGGGCTTGTGCAGGGCCGTGCCTGGCACATTCCCCTCCTGATGCCCCCCAGAGGGAAGTACTCAAGGCTGCATGTTAAGGAAACAAAGTGGCATGCAGGAACGCGGTCCTTGGAGATGAGCTTTTGTCTGTGCATTTGGATTTGAAATTTGTAACAAGAGCAAATTAATACCTCGAGCGCCATTTAGCCCCTGGGTCTAGAACAGGGACACCCCTGCCTGGCAGGGAGGCATGCGGCTGCCCTCTACTGAACACCTGTTCTATAACACACTTTAGTACAGTTCGCCTATTTTAATCCTGACTAATGGACTTCAGGTAGGTTTCATACTCAAACAAATAAAGACATGGGATGATGTCAGCTTCTCCAAAGAAAAGGAGAAGGTAGAATTCGGAACAGCCTGTCTGACGTTAATCCAGGCTTCCCCACTACACTGGGCCACCTCCCGACAAGCCGCGCAGAAGAACCCAGTCTTGACGGCAGGGGCTGTGGCCTCTCTGAGCAGGCGATTCATCACTCACTGACCCACGTAAAAATGTTCACTGAGCACCGACTGAGAGACAAGCACCATGCAGCCATTGGGGAAAGAATGGAGGCGGTCACCCACGTTAATCAGTCACATCAACGAATCCACACACCACTCAAATGCTGTGCAGAACTGCGACTGGGTAAGACAACGAGAGGGGTTGACCAGTGGAGTAGAGCAGAGACTTCTGGAGGAAGGGACATGTGAGCTGAGTTCTAAGAGAGAATGGCCAAGTTCTGTGAAGTAGTCATGAAGGCCAGCAAGGTACAGTTTGTAGCCACCCTATTAAATGAAGATTAGCACACGTGCTAGCATCACAGAGTTGTATATAAAAGGGAAAATGTCAAAGTTGCTGCAGGATAATTTAAAAATTAAAAAAGAAAGGCAGCGTGGTCAGAGTATGGAGAGCAACGGGGACCACCACTCAGGACTGCCTGGAGAGGTGGGCAGTTCCCACCCCCGCAGCTTTGCTGGCCATCCTAAGAAAATATTCTATGTGAAAAGCAACAGAAAGTCATGGAAGAATCCTCCGGTGTAAGAGTGTGCATGTGTGTGTATGAGTGTGAACATATAGGCACACACAAGGGTGAGCACATGGGGTGGAGGGTAAGGAAACGGGCCTTGGTGCTAAGTGATCTGATTCAGGAAAGACACACTGGAGGGGCCCAAAGCAGATATGAAAGGACCGATTAGGAGATGAGATTCCAGTTGACAGGAGTAAGGACCAGGGTGGTGACAGTGGAGATGGAAAGATGATGAACTTGAGAGCGATTTAGGAGGCAAAAGTGACCAGATGGGAGTGTAGAGCAAGTAAGAAGAGGGAGGTATGAAGCAACTCCTGAATGTAGGGATGCATGGAAATAAGATGACGAGGGAGGGCAGTTCCTGAGTGTGACACTGGGAGTGTTCAGTCTGACGTGTCTTTGGGGCACCCAACTGTTAGTAAAGAGGGGTGGGCCAGGATGCGTTTCTGGGAGCTACTGACACCTCCATCTACTGTGAAGGAAACCTTGTTGTCCAATCATTATTTCTGTGTCATTTACTTGAACATGAACTTGTTGAGGATACATTCCTTTTATTTCTCCAGACCAGAGTATAGAAAGCACTCCGTACTACTGTAGTAAAAGGTTCCTCAAACTCATCAGTGGAAGCCAGTGTACAAAAGGACTGCTCTGCAGTTTTCCAGCACTGATTTGTCAACCAGCATGGGAAATCCCAGGACACCATCCGCTGCAGTGTCTCTGAAGCTGCTCCCGTCTCTGCAGCTTCTCAGACACTCTCACTCAGTTCCCTGTTTCTCTGACACCTCAACACCTTCTTGAGCCCCTGATCAGAGAACAGAGAGCTTCCTGAACCACAACACCGTCATCTAACCTGGGAAGAACCAGCCCGCACAGAAGAGGCTGAGAATGGGTAACCACAGGCCTATTTCAGGTAATGAGTCTTTCAAGCCCTTCATCCATGGGAATGCTGAGAAAAAGAGAGCAGGGAGAATTCACCAGGAGAGAAAGCAGTAAAATCAGAGTAACTCAGAAAACAAGTCTTGGGCTCTAAGGTTCCAAGGTGCCCTGTTGTGCACACAGCAGTGTGGATCAGAGGAACAGTCTCTCTTAAAATTTAAAGGTGCTCCTCAACCTCAGCAGACAGTAGAGTGATGACTGGAGCAGGCTTTGAAAATCATCTGGAAGAGAGAATGGTGCTTTTTATCCATAATGTCCTTGACAGAAACTCACCCATTTCTGAGTCATCTATATGAGGTAGCTGAAGCATATCATGTGGACTCATGTGGGTGCAATGTGGAAGAGATGGGGGCCTCCTTTCACATCACTAACAGTTTCCTGTGTGTCCCTAAGTCAGTTAATTCCTTTTCAGCCTTCTACTATGGGAGAAAATGCAACAACGACTTGATTTTTAAGGTCCCTATTTTAGCAGGGTTGCTGTCCAATCCCCAATGCGTTTCAACCCTATTTATAAAGGTTATGTACAAATCTGTAATTGTACATGTGCATAGTTCATATGAACACTCCAATTTGGAATGATAATAATAATAGAAGCAGTTACTCTGTTGGATATACTCACTCAGTAAACAGATGACAGGTGTCAGCAGTGTGCCAGCACAGCCCTGGGAGGGAGAAAGGCAGTGTGGACAAGACAGTCTGCCTAAAGTCTAGAGAAACACAGGGGATTGTACCTTTGGCCATTTTAGGCTTGAGGTACCCATCAGACATCCCAATCTGAGGCCCGAGGCTCTGTGTAAAATTATATATACACTTTCTAATGCTCTCAGCAACCCTCCCAGCAGGGAGTATTACTGCCATCTTAGAGATGAGAAAGATTAATGAACTTGCCAGGGGTGCTCAGCCCCATTGGCCAGGGATACCTGCACCTTCGTGTAGAAAGTCATTGTCATATATTGACTTGAATTATGGACTGTGGCATTTGGTACCTCAAATGCCAGTGGAGCTGAGTAGAGGGAGGCTTGTTGGAAGGAAAAGTTACAGAGCATCTCCAAGTTTATTAAAATAAGTGTTCCTTTAAAAAAATCCTAGGGTCTCCCTGGTGGTGCAAGGGGTTAAGCACAGCACTGTGAAGCTGTCTGCAGCCTCTGCAGCACTGGTTCCATCCCTGGCCGGCCAGGGAGCTACCCACATGGCGTAGCAGACCTCTCCTATCTTCGCCCGCTGCTCCCCTCAGCAGTGTATTTCATAGATCCGCCTGTTTTGTTCCCCACTCTGTCTCTGGTGAATCCTCTCACCCCCCCTTACCTCTGGCCTATACCCCAGTTCTTGTATGCATAAATAAATATTAAAAAAATAAAAAAGGGGAGGAGTTGTTTTCAATTACAAACAAACAAACAATACTGGGGAATTAGAAGGGACAGAAGGGAAGGGAGGACCACCCAGAGACCATTGAAATAGTAAGTCAGTGACATGAGACATCTTTGTATTTTGTTGGAAAAACAGAATGATCTCTGGGTTTAAAAGGACCAGTAAAGAGGAAGCTGGTAAAGATTCCGAGCAGTCCCATACCCCCAGGGCCTGACAGAAAACAGTTTATGGGTATGACAGCCGCAGCACAGGGGGGAGGGAAGCCAACAAGAAGGAGATGTGTCCTGGCCTCAAGAGAAACAATGCGAACTGTGACTTAGAAATGGGGCCGGGTGGCAGGGGGAGGATAAGTCAGAGCTTGACAGTTTTGAGAAAGCCAACTCAGCCAGGAACCTCCGCTCGAAATGGTTAAAAAAAAATCAGGCCCAAATGTGGACTTTCTTGTCTTTCTCAAAAGCCCTCTTTCTTGTGTGTGCCAACTGCAGTATTCTGTTTTGCTCAATACAGATTTTCAGTTATGCTTCTGCTTAAAATAACATAATTAAAAAAATCATTTTCATAAGAGTGGCATGCTGCTTTCTATGTGAGAGGAAATTGGGTATGGGTTTGGCTCATGTCACAAATGAAAGAGCTTTAGAAATCACAGCTTAGCCTTAATGGATCATAATCAGAAAACCCCCACCCCCACACAGCTCTACTGGATGGGCTGCAACTGTTTCTGCTCATATAAAAGATGTAAAACAAATTACTCTCTTCATCAAGATAAGGTGAACTAGAACAGGAAGACTTGAATTAGTCTGGGGGTTGTGGTGGAACCCACCTTCCTTGTGAAGTAAACACAAAGCACTCAGTTTACTGAGTCTAAGCCCTCACAGCAGCCTGACTCCCCCAAGCAGTCTGTTTTTATTGAGTGAATCTTCTGTGACAACAGACACTTGTTGTGTGTTCACTACACAACAGGCGCAGTCTCTTCCCAAGGTCCACTGCTGCAGTCTGGCCAGAGAGGGAGACAATATAAAAAGGGGATTGTAGCCCGTGAATGTTCCCTTAGGTACAGGGATTCCGGGGAGCTCCTAGGAG